ACGCTGCCAGCTGACCAGACTCTGAAGAAAAGCCCAACAGACTTTGACGATGCCTTTGGAGATCTTGATGGTCCTGAGGTATGAGTGTATTTAACCAAACATTTAGTATACCTACTTAAAACAATCAAGATATCCAAATTTCATTTCATTACCTTGTGTGCATAAGCCCTGTGATTTATTTTTCCTGAATTTCTATATTTCTGTTTTTGAGCCATGCCGTTCAATGAAGATATTTAATATCTATGACCAAGCGGATATGGTACTTCATGTTTTTATTGGTGTTTTCAGTTTTAGTAGTGATCTGAAAAATAATGTTCCTGTATATACCATATTATTTTACAGAAAATCTATGTCATTATATTCCAGGAATAATTGGCATAAAGTTTCTGCAGCCATATCATCACTGATATTTCAGGAAATTAAGTCCTGATTTCATTCTCTTTTAAGTCTGAACTTTTTCAACGGCTTTTTGCTTCTTTTTGATAATAGTCAATATAATTTCACAGATAAAGTCCAAAAACAACTTTCGTCTTTCAATGCAACTTGAAATAAGTAGATGTAATATCATGAAAAAAACAAAGATCCAGAGTAGAATTTTCTTGAATATGGCACAATGCATCAAACACTAATTTATTTTGCCTCTTGTTTCATAGGAAACTTAGAAATTAGCTTTCGAATGATTTTTTAAGCAGTTCTTATTTTGCTGTCTTTACTTAGTTACTTATATCTTTTTGGTCACATTTTGAGTACTGACTTAATCTTAGGTAAATCTACTTTCCAATTGTATTATATCCTGTAAAGATGGAGGGTTTGGAATCTTTGTCATGTTCACAACACCTTAGCAACATTGATGTGCTGTTGGGATTTTGAGTTTTGGTTTCTTGCCGTACAAAAGTTGATGAATGATAATATCTAACTTGAAGTGTCGTATTTATTGCAGAGAATGTGCTGTCAAATGTGTTATTTGATGCAATGTCACTTTTTAATTGAGGAAATGGGCTTTATGCTGTGCTGTAGATTGAGAAAGTTCCCTCGATTTTTTTCTTAACTCTTCAGCTTGTTAGTTTATTCATTCTTGAATTCACACTTAGTGAAACTGAATTACTTTGTATTACCTGATGTTAAATCCGAAATATTGTAATTTGGATAAAATAATATTATTTTTACTCATAAGTATATATATATATAATTTGTGCAAATCACCACGTAAACCTTTAACACTTCAGTGATTCAATGCAGAGCATTACAAGTTTTTCAAATAAGAAATAACAAACTCTTATAGTTATGGATTGCGTCTCAAAACATGTATAGAACTCAGATGTCCTTGCATTTATCTATTGTTGTTGGGGTACGATTCACCAAATTAGAATAAATAGAAGCAATACTGAAAGAAAAAAACACTATATTCTTTGACAGCAACCAAATAACTCTACACTTTTTGTCCATCAGCCACACAACTTCAGATTGTTCCATTATCACCAGGAGTAAAATTACAAAGGCACTAGGAGTATTTGTGTTTACGTGGAATTTCATAATATTTTTTATGAGAATTTACCAGTTACAAGAATGTTTGATCTATGAAGGCACGTCATTATGTGATGACCCCAAATGAGTCTTCAACAGACCTGAGAGCAAATCATAATTTTTCGGAAGATGTGTTTTCTTTATAGTGCAATATGGTTCAGCTAATTTTTGTTTTAATTCACATCTGTATGACATATATATGATACGAATTTAGGATGGATATATGATCCACATGATGATATGTTTAAACAATATTTAGAGGTAAATCTAACATCATAAGTTGATTAATTCAAAATATTGGGGCTTTTTTATTTTCTAACTCAAGGTGGCGCTGTACACCAGCCTTTAGATGTAAAACAATCTCTCCCAATATTCTGTAGACACGTATTCTGGTTCTCTTGGGTCGGAATACGGATAAGAAACCCGGAGTTTTCAGTTGCTGGCATGCTTTGTGGGTTGGATGCTTAATTTGTTTTTTGCTAATCGTAACCTGTTTGTATTTGCTCGTTCACTATGGATTCGAAAATGCCCTGTTTTCAGACGTGTGGGATGTATTTGTTTCTTCTTTGGTTCCATGCCACATATGGAGACATGAGCTATTCTTTTCCGGAGGAGATGAAGCGAGGATCAGTGATTGGAAATATTGCCAAAGA